GCGTGGCTGAGTAAACGTAGGATTCCAAGGATTCCCCGAGTTAAAACAATGTGCTGTATTGAGAATAGTGAAGAGCATGTTGTATTCTATCAGATTCCAAGGATTCCAAGAAATCTGGAACAAGCAAGTGTTGCAACTGAAGGATATTACAAAATCCTTTTAGGCCACCGTAGGAGTGGGAGAGTAAACGTAGGATTGCAAGGACTCCCCGAGTTGAAACAATGTGCGGTCTTGAGAATAATGAAGAGCATGTTGTATTCTATCAGATTCCATTGATTCCAAGAAATCTGGAACCAGGAAGTGTTGCAACTCAAGGATTTTAGAAAATCCTTTCAGGCCACCGTATGCGTGGCTGAGTAAACGTAGGATTCCAAGGATTCCCCGAGTTAAAACAATGTGCTGTATTGAGAATAGTGAAGAGCATGTTGTATTCTATCAGATTCCAAGGATTCCAAGAAATCTGGAACCGGGAAGTGCTGCAACCGAAGGATTCCGCAAAATTCTCCTGGGCCACCATAGGAGTGGAACGGTAAACCAAGGATTCCAAGGATTGCCCGAGTTGAAACAAGGTGTGGTGTTGAGAATAATGAAGAGCATGTTGTATTCTATTAGATTGCAAGAATTCCAAGTAATCTGGAACCTGGAAGTGCTGCAACCGAAGTATTTCCCAAACTCCTCCTAGGCCACCATAGGAGTGGAACCGTAAACCAAGGATTCCAAGGATTGCCCGAGTTGAAACAAGGTGTGGCGTTCAGAAAAATGAAGAGCATGTTGCATTCTATGAGATTCCAAGGATTCCAAGAAATCCGGAACAGCGAAGTGATGCAACCGAAGGATTTCAGAAAATCCTCGTTGGCCACCGTACCAGTGGAACGGTAAACCAAGGATTCCTAGGATTCCCCGAGTTGAAACAACGGATGTTGTTGACAATAGTGAAGAGTATGTTGGATTCCATTGGGTTCGAGGGATTCTAAGAAATCGGGAAGTAGGAACTCTTGAAACCGAGGGATTTGAGAAAATGCTCATAGGCCACGATTGTAGTAGTATAGAATCAAGGGGAAAAGGCGGATTCAGGATTATCGGGATTCCCGGATTCCCATGGTATTCCCGGATTCCAATGGGATTCTCTGGATTCCGGATGGATTCTCAGGATTCCCATCGGATTCCGAATGGATTCTGGTTGGGATTTCTTGATTTCCATTCGATTTTCAGGATCCTTTCAGTATTGATAAACTTCTAATAATATATTAAATATTAATAAATCGATATCAACGAAGGATACTTTACCAAATTAGGTTTTTCATCATCTCAGTTTAATGTACATGCAGAATACAGGAGATAGAAGAAAATGTATCATCGCCAGAAGTCTAGAAACGTCACCAAATAAGATGGATTTCAAGTCAACTGGAATAGTAGAGCAATTTAATTTGTGTTCGTTTTATTTAAGGAAAAAAGAAAAACTAACAATAAACAGTAAAGAAATGAAATGAGAAAAAACAGCAGCGAGACAAAGTGTAAGGAAATAAGAAACAATTATAATGAGCTAGTCCAGTCTACTGTATGTACTTTTTCCGTTTTATTTATCGACCTGACTGTTGAACTCTCTTTAAGCGATCAGCTGATAAATTATCTTTACTATCAGTTAAAAGCCAGCAAGCGGTTTGCTTGTGAATATATTTTTTCTCTCCATCGATCTCAACAGAAAAATAAGAGTCAGATAATGCAGGAGAAACTCAATTAATTACTCTCATTCCATCAAATCGATATTTTCCACTTGCTGAAATAGATGGTAGATCTTCTTCCTCGTCGTCTTCAGATGAGTTCTCATCATCTGAATTCAATATGATTTTTACGTTGGTTTCAAGTTCTTCACTTGGCTCATCATCAGATGAATAGGTTTCATTATCATCATAACATAGTTTTTTGTTTTTTTTTTCAAATTGATTTTTTATAAATGAGCTAACTTTATTTATAGTAGTTATTTTTTTCTTTTCCAAAGCAGCATTAATATCAGCTTTAGAGAGAGTCTTATATGCATCATCAAATGCTTGATGAATAGTTGTTTCAATTTGATTATACGTGAGAAGATTGATATCGATAGACGACGTCAGATTATTTAATGAAATAGCTTTTCTTCGTCGTTTATGATGCTTCGGAAATTTCAATAAACAGTCTGATTGACCAGACTCACTTTTATTCTCTAATTCCGTTAAAATCGAAAGTTTGCCAGCTCGTTTAAGAAACTGATTAGTAGTAAAATTTACTACTGATGAGAAAGCGCCTGACATTGATCTTGTAAGTCGAAAAGTAGCTTCGCATGGTTGCGAATTGTAATTCGATATCAATAGGGCAGAGTTCGGCATATGATGTCGATGTACTAGAAGACAAATTGCCAACAAACTATGAGCATTGAGCTCAATTGAAAAATGTGCAGGACTAGTGATAAATAAATCCTTTTTATTTTCAACATTATATCCTAAAATATCTTTTTCATCAATTATGTCCAACCAATTTTTCCATATACGACACAAAAATACTGCATACCAACTATAATAGATCCGATTAATGCTTGATGTATCATGCTCCACATATGCTAACACGATACAACGTAAAAGATGCAAATAAATTCGTGTTGCTTGAGAATTTTCGATGTCCTCCAGAGTAGTGAATACATCATCGCTTGAAAGTTTGATACACGACGAAAAATTTTGTCGGTCTTTTGGTTCAATATCAGTTTTAACAAGTCCATGTGCAAGCTTTGATTTCTTTTCAATTAATTCCATTAATACTTCAATAGAAACTTCTTCTTTTCCTATTAGCATTGATGCTTTTTTGGAAAGAATACGATTGCGAAGTTTAGTACTCAAATGTATTGAATCTTGAAAACAGAAAAACAGCTGACGAGTTCCCATGAAAAACCAGCTCGACCAGCTTTTAGGTAGATCGATATCGAAAACATCCTGACGATCACATATAGACATATTGTTAATTCTTCCAAAAAAACCTGTAGCAAGACGCATCGCAAGCAAGTATCTAGGATCACAATCAGTTGCGAAGGCAACTATACGAACATTGGACTGTCGAGCATTTTCGAACATCCATATCCATCGATTGAGAACATCAATGGCTTTAAAATTATTGTTGATTCCATAAGTAGCTAGTAGAAGCGGCGATGAATATGGATTAGAAGCTATGAGTGGCTTCACCATATGAACATTAAGATAATGTGTTTTATCTTTATTTTCGAACCAACTTTTTAATTCATCAAATGAGTCAGTTTGAAATTAACGAGAACAAGGAATACCATGTTTCAATGAGATCGGAAATCCACTGAACTTATTAGTTGCAGAATTATATGATACTTTTTTAATGACTGCAGTTGCATCTTCAGAACAAACGGCTATATCATAGCCAACTGATTTCTGATGATTTTGCAGTATATTATATCGAAAAATACCTTCTTCAATGCATGCACCCGCCTTTCCAAGACTATCATCCAATGTGGATAAAGCAGGAATGGCACCGGGTAGATTGAGTCGAACGAATTCATAGACGTTCCGTCCACCCAAGATGTACAATGATTGAGCAAACTGTTGCACATGTTCGCTATAGCGATAATTATTTTTATTTTTTGAAAGATTGCTGAAAATATTTTCAATAGAAACTAGAAGAAAAGCATGATTGTTTTTTGTGTCATCGTTTTCATTGAAGTGAAACGATTTTATCAACTTTTTAAACGAAGAAAAAAATACATCATTTAAATTAGCTGTATTTTCCTGGTTACAATTTTGATTGTTTGCGGCATGTAAGGCTCGCATGAAATGATCGAAATCTAAACGTAAACCAGGTTTTAACATAATAGTACCATCATCAAGATGAAGGCACGCTCGTTGCGTTATTTCTTCTAACTCTTTATATTTTTTATCGAAAAACAAAAGTATATCATTTTCAATCAATAGTAGTTTATAAACGTTATTGATTGAAAGTACTTCCATCAATTCTTTAAAACTTTCTCCACATGTTTGAGTAACCAGCTCAAAAAATTTCTCACCCTCAAGTGTGAGAACATCAGCAGGCAATACAAGTTGTTGAAATTTTTCGAACATTTCATACACTGGTTCACCTAAAGTCAGTGAAACAATATGATGATCGTTGCTTTATTTGTAACAGAAACGTGTTTCTTCGACGGCGGATTATGGAATGGTAGCGAATATGTGACATGCCATCATATATATATATATGCGAGAGAGAGAAAAGAGAGAGAACTTTCTCGTCGTGCGCGAAAAGAGAAAAAATTAGTTGTAACTGACTCAAATATATCGTTTGAATTTTAAGGGAATGCTTTTTTCTCGTCTTAATTGTTCAACCGTTGTAAGTTCGTCAACTTAGTAAATGTGATCAGATAAAGAATGTGATGCAAGGAAATGACTGAGCGAAACTAAATAAGAATACGTTAGAGTATATCAAGAAGTTGTGATAGCTGGCAATATGTGCGATTTATATCATCATGTTAGTAATAATGCTACAATTTCTATAGCTTATTGAAATATTCTATAATTCACTAGAATTAGTGATCATATTTTATCATATCCGAATTAGAATTAGTTGACTGAATGGGAAAATCAAAGATATTTACAGCAGCTGAACCTTCTATTCGAACTAATTTTATTTAAAAACCAGTATTTACATCATCAAATAAAATACATAATCATAATTGACATATAAAATAGTACAAAAAGTAATTATCCTACAATAACAATTAACTTATTTTAACACAAATGTACTAAAACGAATTTCATAAAACTTTTAAAGCCTAATACGTTTCTTTTAGCAACTTGTTCTATATGTACGTCCTTTTCAACGACTTCACTATACCAACAGTATGACCAATAGTAATACTGGATGCCGAGCCTTGTGTCAGTTCATTGATCGATACAGCTTGCGATGTTGTATCATCTGTTAATTCATATTCATCTAGGCTATTAGGTTCACCAGCATCGTCGGATTTAATCTTTTTCTTGTTCATCATGATACAATTTTTCGACTTAATGTGCTTGTAAAAATTGCTTAATGAAAAGTTATAGCGCACTCGTGTTAATTGAACTTTCACACCGCACGAACAATATATAGATGCTTCTGGACTGGAACCATTAGACACGATGGCAAGCTGAAAATCTTGATTTTCAATTAATTTGCTATTAGACATATTCATTGCATGACAGTTTTTTTGAATCCATTCATTCAACATATTGATGATTGAATCATGATGATTTAATTCATTTGTGCAATCTAAATTATAATATTTTATGCAAATATAGATATTTAAATATTTATAGATTGACATCTCTGTTTTCATTACCGAACCTGATAGTAATAGATTTAATTCAAATGTTTTTGTGAAACACGACCTGAAAGGAGTGTTGAAGTGTTTAGGGTAGAAATTTGCACCCCCCCCCCCCCCCCCCCCCCCCCCCCCCCCCCCCCCCCCCCCCCCCCCCCCCCCCCACCCCCCCCCCCCCCCGCCCCCCGCGCCC